ATCTACCAAGTTTTGAAGCAATTTTTCGAGTTGGCCATCCTTTTCCCTTAAAGAAATAGATTTTTCATATTTCACTTTCAGTTAGGGTTATTCCCCTTGGCATTTTTGTCACTTTTTTAGTTTGAATTCTCAGACTCACCCAAAATGTTACACATACTAATTTACATTACTATTACAGTTGAATGGATTGTTCCATTCAACTGTAATAATCAGTTTTCACCCTTGAGTTTATAAATTGTTTACAACAAAAAATTGTAACAATTAAAATTTTTGATTGTTTATTAAAATGATACAATACAAAGACTTGTTTATTTCATTATAAATTCTTAACATTAATTAAAATCATTAGATATAGCAACAATGAACTGTGGATGAAAAGAAATTAAAACACAGAGAAATTTCACTTGAGTTTATAATTTCTTTACAGACTGTATTAATATAACTTATTATTGAATAATTTTATATCATACATTTAAGAATTTTCTTATCTAATTGGGTCAAATTATTCGAATAAATTTCTAAAAAATTTTGAAGATAAATATTAAAATAAATGTAAAAAATTAATAAAAATATTTTACTAATAAAAAAATAATCGAATTTCGCAAAAGTTAAGAAAAAGGTTAAAAAATTTAGAACTATTTTGACTGAAAACAATATATTACTAATCTTGCACCTATTTAAACTATTCTTATTATTAAACTAATAATTTTGAAAATTATTTTAATTTTATTTTATACTTAGAAAATGAATCATTTACAATAGTTAAACGTCTATAGTTAATGTTTATTTATAAGTAAAATTTCATTTAAATTTATTTTTAAATACTTAATTTATCTGTGTTCCTTTTAAAATTCTACCAATACCAGACATTAATTAGCCTGATCTTCATGAACGCCACATATATTTTAAGTACAATTAGGCTAAATAAAATTTTGACAGTCAGAAATTGAATAAATTTCAATATTGAGAACTGATTTCAATTCCTGCTAATTACACTATATTGAAGAATTCAGCGAAAAGATTTCACGAAAGAAAATATGCATTTCAAACAATAAGAACTTTGCAATTATTCTCACAAAAATTTCACGATTGACAAATAAAATTTCACGAACAACGTGCAATAATAAAATAAAATTTTCGCGATTAAGTCATAATTTTTCGCGAAATTTAAGACATAAAGCTGAGTAGAGACGACGGATTTCGCAAATTAAAGACAGAATTTCAATAAATTTCTTCGCTAAATGCTGCAACGGAGTGTAATATAAGTAATTTAAATATTTTTAAGATAGAACAATAAATATAATCTTTCTTTCTTCGTATGAAAGGGCTTTTCATAACATAAAATATAGGTATCAAGCTCGTAAAACTGAATTACAGATCACATTTGTATTCATTAGAATTGGTAAAACAACAAGTAATAACTTAGTTTAATTTGAATATTTAAAATGTTAATCTCTTCACAATAGATTGAATTTACAGTATATTGTAAAATATTATTTTATCTTCATTTTTAACTTAAAATATTCCAAATTATTTTTATTATAAGTATTCAAAATAAATTTTCATGATTAAAGAAAATGTACTGTACAGTACGTATTACAGTACAGTAAGTATTTTTTATAATTATTTCTCTTATAAATTAATATTTATTAAAACGATTTAAAATTTTTTACATTATAATTTTAAGAAATTTTCATGTAAATTAGGAAAATAGAATGTATTTAATTTTATTTTATTCATTACATAGTTGATAAAGATTTTTGATCAGTCTTGAATTAGATTGTGATCTTGTTTATCCAAAGATAATTAATTATTGTCAAGTTAAAGAAGTAACGAATTGACAGGAATCATTTTCTTAACTGCAATCAATTAAATTATGTTAAAAAAGTTAATGATTGTTGATTTTAATTTGCATTTCATCAAAATAAAAAGTGCTTAATTTAGAAGCTTGCAGATTAAGTCGAGTGAAGTAAATCAATTTAAGAGTGAATTCTAAGTTTATTTAATAAAAAGAAGTGTATATAAATTGTTTTAAAATATTTTCAAACAATTTTAGAAATGTTTTATCACTTTATAAACTTATGATGGTGGAAATATCAATATTAACACTCAGCCACAGGACGCTCAGAAAATATCAATATTTCAATAGAGATAAACAAGCTCATATTAAAACTATTTTAAAATTAATTATACAATAAATGGAGCGAATATATTGATATTAATAGGAAACAAGAGAAACTCAATTAATTAGAGTAATAGGATGCTTCATCACTTTCCTTTGATCTCTCAGTATATAGTTTTGAATCAACGTCACTGCTTCTTAATGAAGAAAATTAATTTAACATCGCAATGCTGTATAACTGTAAAAATATTAATGATGCTGAAACTTAATTGGATATGATTATAAAAAATTAATTGATAATTTTACTTAAATTCGATATTATATACGGTAATTATAATAATAAATAAAATTAAATAACAAATATTAATTTATTAGTAAAAATTAAGTTTTATGTATATTGTAGATAAAACTTAAAGATTATAAAATAGCCGTTTTATTTTTGATTATCTTTCACTTATCAGAAAAATAACGATTTTATTAATATTGAAAGATGATAAAGAAAAAAATATTATAAAAATTATTTTTTTGTAAATAGATTGAATAAGTCGGCAAAATACAAGGGTGGTCTGCCTCCCTGGAGGATTTTTTGTGGCAGACTTTCCCATATTTCGGTGTTGTTAAATACGTAAAAAAAACCCAGAAAACTGCACGCTGCCAGTGAGGCACGAACTACCATTGTTTAGATCAGGGGTGTCCAACCTGCGGCCCGCGGGCCGCATGCGGCCCAAGGCAAGTTACAATGCGGCCCAATAAACGTGTAAACAAAACCGACAAATTTTAAATTAAATTAAATTTATTTATTTCAACGGCATAAACTCAAAAAAAGAAGTTTCACAAAGCCGTAAATCTTTATTTGTATTTTACTTTTGAGTCGAAAGGAAATATTTACAAATACTTGGAAATGTGTGAATGAGGAAAGAATACTAAATAAATCTAAAGTTGAGACTCGAAGAATTATAGTCCCAAATTCGAGGTAAGGAGAGAAAGGCCAAAAGATAAAACGTAGTGAGAAAGATTAAATAGACTTTCTGTTATGCAAATATGGACCCTTAATTTTCCAACTTTCCTCACTTCTTTATCTTTTGTCCTTTCTCTCCCTTCCCCGCATTTGGGTCTATAATCCTTTGAGTCCAACTCCGGCTTTATTTAGTATTTATTCCAGGTTTGCATGATTTGGCTACTTTGCGCCAAAGTTGGCTACCCGTTTTTTAGTTTGCCGTAAAAAATATCATTTGGCGCATTGGCTATTTTTTGGGCTACATCTTATTTATAAATATATTAGTCGAATAAAAATGCATTTTAAAATGGTGTTTTGTCAATTTTTATTAATTAGAGACCCAAATATTTGTGTTTTTCAAATACATTTTTGTTCGTCTCCTTTATAATAAATGAATTTATCCATTTCTAAGTAAAAATTAGAAGTGTCTGTAGAAGTAATTTTTTAATATATCCTTTTTTGTGATAAAGATTTAATACTTATTACTATAATCTAGATATGTTAATTCTTAAATATACTAGTATATTTAAGGATTGGGCCACAAGTATATATAATACACTTGTGGCCCAAAACTCCATGACATTTTCCAATGTGGCCCAGAGAAACAAAAAGGTTGGACACCCCTGGTTTAGATGTTTCATCCATTTGGCCACTCTGGTGGCTGTCTACAAACGTAGTCTTCGCAAATAATTAAGAATAAATGTAAGCAATTATATCAAGAAAATAAATTACAGGCGTTGTTTTTTAAAACAATCATTTCTTAAATTTTTTATATAATAATCAAATCAATTTTGAAATTTTTCTTTTTATTTTTACGTTTCTTTGTTTCTGTTTGCATAAGATAATGAATGTCCAGAAGTCGCTTTTAATATAGCAACTGAATAAGTTTTAACAGTTTTTAAAAACATAAAATGAGATATATTTTATTATTTTGAAATGTTGTTTTAATTTTTTTCGATAACTTTACCCGAAGTGATACAATTCAAAACTATATAATTAATAATATATTATTTTCATTTATACATCTTTCATGTATTATGTCGTTATTTAAATTTTTGTTTATAATTGTGCGTTATAATACGTTATGATAAGCATCTATTCAAAAGAATTTCGTTTAGATAATTGTATTTTTTGCCATTACAAATTAACACAAGGAATCGAAAGTTGTTCAGAATACTTTCGCAGGCCTAATATTGTTCTGTTTTTTTCCCCTTGAATCAAACATAACATATTTTCTTCCAATTTCCCTAGGGTATGTGAACAAGTAAAAGAATAAATAGAAAACAAAAATACTCTTTCAATTGCTTTTTTCAAACTAAACATTTTCTGAGGAAATTATTACATTAATTAGAAAAATGAATTAATTTCCCTGTCAGTGAATTTTGTAAAACTTTTCAATACCATTTAGCTACTAATCAATTGCATGAAATCATTCAAATTTTGCCTTAATTAAGCTAATTTCTTTCACTTGAGTATATAATTAAATTTCTAGTCATAAATTTTTAATTTATATGTTAAATATAGAAGATTTTAACTAATATCACAAAAATTTTCTAATTCATCTATCGACTTTTACAAGGATAAATAAATATTTTTTATAAAATATCTTTCTGGTATTTGAAGCAACTTAACTTTACTTAAAATTTTTATGTTGTGTAAAGTAGTAAAAAAATATATAAGTGGTCGTTGAGTTTGTCAACGAGGCAGAAGGCGTGTTGGTGACATACTTTGACAACTTCACTAAAAGACTGTAAAACCCAGTTCTAGAAAGTATGACAAGAAAATCGATAAATCAAAAAACACTGATATAATTTCAAAGCTGTGTTAAAGATTTATTATTTTTAAATGAAAACATGATACATATTTATATTTTTATTTCAGAATTATGTACTATCCTCGATTGTTGAGAATATAGCAAAAGAAAAAAATCATAAGTAAGTAGATGTTTCTTTATTATAGATATGAAAACTTCGCACTACTACTTTAAAAGACAGCCTCTTAATTTTTTATAAATCTAATTTTCGACTAGGTCTTCCATCTTTTGATTTAGCATAATATTAACAATAGGTATTAAAGTTTGCCTGCTATTTAAAAAAATTGCATACTGTTAATATAATTTTAATTACAGCCAAGAAAACATGTTTAATTTAATCCTTCCCTTATGTAAATTGCTAAAATTGTAAATTAAAAAAGTTAAGACAGAGTCTTTAAAGAAAATCATCTTGTTTATGTTTCCTTCTTTCTTAATTTTGTGAATTAAATTATTTTATTTTTTAATCAAGAGAATTTCAATCTGAGAACGATGTTCAATTTTTCAATTTACAAATGGATAAAAATGAAAGTGATTTTAAAAATTTTGAAGATGACCATCTCAAGAAATTGTCTGAATATTCTTCTTTGTTCGGTTAGTATTATTATTAATGAAGAATTAATAGACTATTTATTATGCATTAAACTTTGATTTTAAAATGTGCCACAATTTCGATGCACATTAATCAAGAAAAGATACTTTTACAGATTTGGAGAAAGATAAGCTTCTCGAAGAATGTGGAAGTCTTCATGCAATAACTTGTTTAAAATCTCATGAAAGAGCTCTTAGTTTTCTGGGAGGTACAGCAGTTGATTTCTTTACTAGTTTGGAATGCCTCGACTATGTTCTCGATAAATCGGACCAGGAAGAAAGAGAGACACTTAAAGTATTGCCGAAATCATCCAATGATCATCTGATTCTAGAGTTATCAACGAAGAGGTTATTCTGGGCTAGAGCATTTGTTGGCGTCATAAAAAGGATTTTAGATAGTTTATTCCATTTAAGAACTATCATAGAGATGCGAAGAAATTCTGTCGCTAGCTATTTATACGAAGTGAAAATAGGAGAAGCGAACGAAAAAGATCCTCCTGTATTGGAATGCAACTCAATAGAAACAGGAGATACTCGATTGTCTGTTACTTCATTTTGTAAAGCTTTCCCATTTCATTTTGTTGTTGACCGCAATCTAAAGTTAACTCAAGTAGGTTTAGGTTTATCTAAACTTATTGGAGATAGAAGTAAGAAAATTAGAGGATGTAATATCATGAAATTCTTTCGAATACAACAACCCAAAATATCTCCTTGCTTTCAAGCTATTTACGCTAAGATGAACATGCCTTTTTTCTTAACCATTCACAATTGTCACAAACAAGTCGAGGTATGCATTAACTTTACTAACAGTTTACTCTATCTGATCCAAATATTCTAAAAAATAATTGAATATTAAATTTGAATATCTTTATTTAAACCGAAGTAATTAATTATAAAAATTGAACTAATTCTAGTTTAAATTAGAATTACAAGCTAATTAATTTATAATATATTTTAGGAGATGTCGTTAAAAGGGCAAATGATATATTGTCCAGAATCCGACTCCTTATTGTTTTTTGGATCTCCAGTTGTAAACGGTTTAGACGAGATGAATGCTAGAGGTTTGTACTTATCTGATATCCCCATCCACGATGCTACAAGGGATATCATTTTAGTAGAGGAGCAGGTGCGAGCTCAAGACGGATTGAAAAGGAGGATGGACAAGCTAAAGAACTCCATACAAGAAGCCAATAAAGCTGTCGAAGTTGAAAGAAGAAAGAACGTAGATCTGTTGCACTTGGTTTTTCCTCCTAACGTTGCTAGAAAATTGTGGCTCGGTAAGTTTATTTATTGTTTCGATTTTATTCGCATTTGCTGTAATGACTGTTATATATATATATATTTTTTTTTACTTTTGGCACAAAGAACTTCTTCCAATCTTTCGGAAATACATTTACTAGTAATAAAAATAATTTACGTTACTTGTTCATTTTAAAAATTTAATAGAACATCATAAAAGCGACTAGAAAAATAACGTTCTGTAAACTGTAAAATCACATTTAATCTGGATATTTATTTTCGTAAAATTTTATAATAGCATAATCGAAAATAAATCTATTGCATTTTCTTCCTTCTTCTAAAATGTTAAATTCGATTATTTAAGTGAAGATCTACGAAATAAAATATTTACAGCTTTTTCTATTAAATATGAATCTTTAGCAGCTAAATGTTTCTAAAATATCAATTCTCATTCCGTTCGAAACAAGAAATCTTATTTAAAATTTGAAATGTTTTATTTACATACAAATCTGAATAAACACAGTGATGTTACATTTATTCCTTAATTTATATAGTTTCTATTTAATTTAATAGAACAACCATGAGATATAATTATCAAGTCGATTAATTTTTATCTTTACAGGTGAACAGGTAAAAGCTCAACAGTACGATAACGTGACCATGTTATTTTCTGATATAGTAGGCTTCACCGCTATCTGCTCAACTGCTACTCCTATGTTAGTGATCAATATGCTTAACACGCTCTATACAATGTTTGATATTTTTTGCGGTGAACTAGACGTTTATAAGGTAATTATGAGTTTTTATAAAGAAATTACGAGAAGCTAATTTTCAGAAGTGTAATTTATTATTAGACAGAAACAATCGGTGATGCTTACTGTGTTGCCGGAGGTCTTCACCGTCCAAGCAAAACTCACGCTCAACAAACAGCATGGATGGCTCTCAAGATGATGGATGCTGCTCAAACTGTATATTCTCACGATGGAAAACTACTTCAGGTGAGTGATTACATTCAAATCTCGTTCAGAAAATAAATATATTTGTAATTATTTCAATTATATCAGATGAGGATCGGGTTACACTCGGGATCAGTTTTGGCTGGAGTGGTTGGAGTGAAGATGCCACGTTATTGTCTTTTTGGGAATAACGTTACTCTAGCTAACAAATTCGAATCCGGGAGCGAACCTGGAAGAATAAATATTAGTCCAACCACTTATAGGTAAATCTATATTAATTCTAATTTAGATTTTTGAACAGATTTTAATAATTTTTTCTTTTCATATCTGCAGCTTACTTATAAAAACTGAAGGATTCTCTTTGATATCGCGATCGTCAGAATGTCTCCCTCGTGAATTTCCCTCTGATATCGAAGGAACTTGCCATTTCCTAGATTCGTATCAGCATCCAGAAGTGGAGAGGCACCATCCTCTCGATGTTCATGTAAAAAAAGTAATTGAAGAGTTAGAATTAGATGTCACAACTCCGTGGCATACGGAGAAAACATAACATTCGCACTATAAAACACCACAATAACGTGTCTGAATGGTTGTCATTTCTTCATATTGATTCATATTCGAAATAATTTATTAAAGGAAATGGTATTCGAGCGAACCAATTTATATTCCATTTCCCATTTCCTTTCATTCACATAATTTTTTTCTATTTTTTTCGCTGTTAAATATGTTTTCCCGTTTATCAGCGAAGAATATTCACAGATTATTACCGTATAGGAAATTGATATTTTCCAATTTATGTATATTTTTTGAATGAAAATCAGTGTAAATTGAATTTCGTAAATTTTATTTGTATTTAGTTTTCATTTCACGTTTTAATTTTATATAAAGTGGATTTAATATTCTTTCCTGTTTATTGATTTAGGAAACTTGTAATTAACTGTTAACGACTTTTGAAAATAATTATGTGTATTGTTTCTTCAATGTTTGTGAATTTTCACATGAAATTATTTTTTTTAATTGTAAATTTTTGCACACGAAAAAATAAAAATATTATTGAAAATTATAAAAGTTTCTTGTCGTTAAATTTATTATATATAAATTCTTATTTGCATTTTAAAACTTAAAGGGTTGTATGTACAAAATAGGCTAAGATTCGTTGTTTCAAAGTATATAAAAATTATTAACGTAATTACAAAACATATTTTAAAGAATTTAAATGAATATTGTTTATTATTTTCAATTAATACATGATCTTTCGCACTGAAATGTTTGATTTTAATTCAGTGAACATTTTTCAATAAAGAAATAATAAATAAATTTAAAATACTGTTACAATTATTAAAACCTTATGCTATGTTTAATTAAACTTTTCTTATTTTCATTTTTAAATCAGTCTTTTTATGATTATGCTGATTTCTCTTCTCAGAATTTTTAAATTTATTTTCAAATAAATTAATTATATAAAAATAGATAAGCCTAATTCTCTTTTAACTACTACAGTTTTCTTACAGGAAAATTTAATAAAATTATTAATAAGTTGTTACATTTCTCCGTAAATAACGTTTATCTTAATTCATTTCATAATGAACTTTCAATCATAAAACAAAATGTTTCCGGTTTTTACAATGAATAAAGTTACTTTTTCTGACAAAAATGCTTTAGATTACTCGAAGAATATTCACAGATTACTCGAAGAATACTGAATTAGATAATAACGGAGTTAGATAATATAATATTTTTATTTAAAATATATTAAATTTATACAGTTTTTATAAAAAAATTATACATTTATAAAGAATTTTTTGTTTGTTTGTAAATCTATGAATTCTCAATTCACACAATATTATCATATTTTGTTAAAAAAAGTTTAATTAATTAAGAAGTGATAATAACAAATAAGAGAGATAAAATGGAAAATGTGAAAGTTATGAAATAGGTGAAATTTAAAATATAATATAAACTTTTATGAAAATTGTGAAAGTATTTATAAGTAGTTTTGCGCGAATAATTTCTTCAGTATCTGTTGTTAAGAACTTGAAAGGGCAGCATCATAACTGCTATCTTCATAATTTTCTTTTTTTTACATTTAAGAAGAAAGGAAAGAAATGCAGAGATGGATAATAGGCGTGAATCACATATTACCTGAGAAGATAACTGAATAAGAACATGATCGAATCACAAAAAGTACCTTTAATACCTTTAACAATTTAAAGACTTTTTCCTATTTCTTACTGCTCTCTGGAAAGAAGGTCAGAGGAGAAAGCGAGAAGTTATTTTATTCTACAACAGAATAAATCTCAAAGGAAGAATTTGAAATGATGACATTTTGTTTGAATTATTTTTAAATTATTTTGATTCTAGGTAAAATGTTTTTATATTATTGTGATTTTTGAGGCTTAAAACTTCTGTCAAACTTAATAAATTTAATAAAAAATAGCATTCAGTTTTAAATAAAAGGTGCAATTGTTACGGCTAACGGGAATCTTAGCCAGGCACAAGTTCAAAGTGGTGAGTCCGTACCCCAAGGTTCAAATCTATTCTGGGGTATACGTTCGTTCTTCTTGCTTCTCGCACTCGTCGACGTCCTAACAACAAGTGACCAAACCACAAAGTGACTGACCCTGCGGTTCCTCTCGTACCGCGCAGGATTACTCTCGCAACGACTTACGTTTCCGTGGCTAGGGGTCTTCTGCCTTAGGGGCGTTTAGTCATAATCCCACGAACAATAGCTTCGCGCCACTGGCCACTCGACCAAGCACAGGTACGGTACAAAGTGTCCGTTACAGAAATTATATCCATCTTTTAACAATTATTTAATAAACTGATTATAAAAACAATTGTTAAAAGGTGCAATTATATCCATCTTTTCCACTTATAAATATACAATATTTAGAATTAAACTTTTACATTTCTATTTCACATAACGGTTATTTTATTGGGCTGCAATTACAAAAAAACTGTAGATATATAAATTCCGTCATCCGTCTGTCTGCCTCTTCTTCCACAAACTCGAGACCGGAGTTAGATAGATAACAGCAAAGACCGGAGATAGAAAGCGTAGAGATAGTAAGCCCCGATTAACTATAAAAGAACTTCCAACGCAAACTGGAAGTGACGTTATTTCAATTCAAATGTTTTCCCCTTAAAGGAGTTAGTAGATGACTACATGACTCTGTTGCTAACAGGAAAAAGATGATTTACAGGGGCAAGACACTACTAATTCGAAGTGGATAGCATACATTTTAAATTATACATTAATACATGATTACAAATTTCAGCCAGTCATTGTGACAAGATCATAATAAATAGGTACTCGTTTTATATAAAATACTTATCATAAAATAATTATTTTTTAAATATGGGTAATTTATAAAAAAAGAATTTAACGTTTTAATGTGTTTAAACTTTTTAATATTTAATTTTAAAATTATGATAAATTTTCTTATTCAAATACATATGCACTACACCGTAGTAACTACAGTATACTGTACTGTACATATGTATTTTTTAAACGTTAAGTTTTAAAGGATTTATCGTTATTTTTTTAAATTTTAATTTTAGAATATTCTGTCGAATTTTTCAATAAGTATTTGCTATATTTTGTTATTTAAAACTTTTACTTTATTTTTAAATTCTTTTAATAATATTTTAGTTATGGTATCTTTGGTTTCTGATAATTTTTTAATGCATTTAAGTAAATTTTGTTTTTTTTCTAGAATATTTTATTGAATTTTTTATAGACTTTTGGCATTTTTTAAATTTCATCTAGAAACATTGCACAAATGGTCCATCTCTGAAATTGATTTATAACTTAAGATATATGCAAGAATGATGGAAATTCAAGCAAGTTGAAACAATCTGAAAAAATAAATTTTAAAATATAATATCCATATTAAATTTAAATATATAATAAAATTAATATACATATGTATTAATATTTCGTTTTATAATCAAATTTCTGGAAGTATTTTTATTGCTAATTTATAGTGTATATTAATCAAAATTCACCCGAATTTTAGTTCAATTTGTTACGGAAATTTACCCCGTTATATGAATAATACAGAGGCCATTTAATTCTTTTATTTTATTATTATTTTTTTTTAATTTAACATCTCATTCATCACATCCGTCATTGTCTAATGAACGTATCCATCAATTAAAGCTAATATATTAATATTTAAAGTCCTATTACGTTAAATTGCAATTTTTGATGGATGTTTTCTGAATTAGTGTAAAGAATATCATATTCATGATTTAATATTCAAAAAATAATTTTCTAACGTTATATTTTAAGAGTCATTTTATCAATTAATCTTCATTTTTATTATCGAATGTTAGCTTTAATTAGTGATGCTTTAATAAAGATTTTAGTGANTTGCGTGTAGCGACTACATCAGTCCAGGTCAATTTTGATGCACTTACTTGTTAGTTCTGTAAAACAAAGTCATATTTTTAAATTGTCTAATAAATATGTTTCTCGGTTATTAAATAAATGATTCTCGGTTATGTTTTATTTTCTTCAAAAAAATAAATATACCTATTTTTTGTGTTTTTTTACATTAAACCAGGCAAGTGTTTGACCACGATCTCACCTACTGGAAAGCAACGATGCGGTTGAAGCTGTAGCACGCTTGCTTGTTTACTTTAATTTTAAAAAAAAATTAGGTGCGTGGCCCGGCATGAAATATTATTTCTGAAATTTGGCCCGCCTGCTTAAAAGGTTGGCCACCCCTGCTCTAAAGGAAGCTTTTATCATACATACTTATATAAATTAAGTAACAAAATATAAAAAAAACAGTTTAAAAAATTAATTAATTTCATTAAAAACCTAAAAAAACTTATTATTGCTGAACTTAGAATGAAGTTGAATTCAACATAAAATAAAATCTTTATGATATGATGAAAGATCATTACGTAGAAAATTTAAACAATTTTAATCGATTCTACAATTTAAGCACTAACCACAGCATTTATTATTAATTTGGATTGTATATAAATCCTTTACAATACATACGAATTAACGCAAATAGTGCAGATTAAACCAAATGAATATTAGAGAATTAAGTATGGATAGAAATCGTCTCTGAATCATTGTAAACCTTTATAAACTCATAGGATAATGTAAGATACTTTTGGGAATTTCGATCAATTAATAATTCTCAGTGTACTCGATGTATTTAATCTTTATATTTTTCACATGCCAACTCAGCGAACAAAATGATAAAGGATGATGTATTATGTATGAAAATGTTAATGAAGGGAATCTGAATCACCTTTTAAATTCATTTATATATTAAATCTCATATTCCAACTTGAAAGTATCAAATTAGTTTATTGTGGAATGGCATAAATACATAATCTTAAATGAGAAAAACGGTGTAAAATATCAAAATTCTTTTGTAATAGAAGCAACTTGTACACATCCTCATTTACAAATGAAGAAAAACATAATGTAAGTAACTAATATAAATAAGTACGATATTTATAGAAATTGTTATAAAAAATTACAACTTTTTATATAATTAAAAATTGAAAATATACATTTATTCCATTTATTTATCATTATTAATTTATTATTTATTTTTATTTCGTATTTATNTCTTCAAAAAAATAAATATACCTATTTTTTGTGTTTTTTTACATTAAACCAGGCAAGTGTTTGACCACGATCTCACCTACTGGAAAGCAACGATGCGGTTGAAGCTGTAGCACGCTTGCTTGTTTACTTTAATTTTAAAAAAAAATTAGGTGCG